TATACAACAAAGCTCGACGGTTCAAAGATATCAAATCTACCGATTGGCCGAGTATATCCGATATAAGTTCACTACGGAAAGTTTAAAGGGAAACTTACTTATCCAGATGCAATTAATTCTTGCATGTAAAACACGCACGCGTCCGTGAAATCCTTTATTTTATAGCCATTCCCCATCCATATGGGGGATTGTTGGGATTTTAAGCTTGTGTAGCTTAAAGAGGGTGAATGAGAAATAGAGGGAAAATAAAATATTTGAGTTTTCCTCCTTGGCAAAGGGACATTGTCCCATATTGGAGGAAGAAAAGATTTTTGATGGTTATATATATAATTGCTCTTCTTCTAGCTCTTAAAGAGTTAAGAAGAAGGCAAGCCTCACGCCGTCGTCATCGTCGCTCGCTCGGCTCGGCTTCAGATTCGGATTTAGTCAAAGATCAATGGCTGTTTCTGAAAGGTTGCAAATCTTTTCAGAAACAATGCCAGCAACTCTATAAATATACTTTGAATCCCAGAATCTTTCCTTACGAAATTTTTTGATCTTCTTCTTCTTCTGCACAAAAATTTCAGTGTGTTTTACAGCATTCGAGTGGCTTGTTGTTCACCGGTGTTTTGGTACCAACACTCCAGTGAGTTAAATCGTTCTATCCCGGAAGGATATATTCTAGCACCTCGGGTAATTGAGGGGAATAATTTTCTTAAGGACACACTGTGTATTCAGTGGGCTTGATTTATTCCTATACTGTTTTTTCCAGAATTTATTTCGTTAAACAAGTATTACTAACTTTCTGTTTTGTTTATATATTTCAGAAAGTTTAATGATTTAATTGTTTATTACAGCAATATAGATTTATAACACAGATTGATAAGCTACAATGGCTTAATTTACGTATGGAAAAACGAAGTATCGTATCAACCAATTGTAAAGTTTATGTATAACAAAATATTAAATACTCCCCCATTCGTTTCATTTCATGAGAAATGAAGAAAGAAATCTTTTACAACTTTGTGATCTTAAATATGCCATAATATGTATGGTCAAAAAATAAGTAAAATAATTTTTTTTTAATTTAAATTATTTCTGAATATAAAATATGTCATTCTTTTAGAACAAACTAAGAAGGAAATAGTGTCATAGAAAATAGAACAAAGAGAGAGAGTAGAACTATTTAAAGCTCAATGTATAACCAAATACGAATCAATTAAAGAATATCAAACTTATTAAATTGTTGATGAATTTGTAATTATTACCAAATCTTTTTGTGCATAAAAATGATAGTTGGAATGTTTAAAATTCAAAATATATAAATCAAATGGTACAACAGATATTTAGGTATATTGCCACCCCAAGATTGTCAATGGGGTACAATGAGTTTAAATCTTAACGATGATGGACCACTATGGAAACTAGGAAGGACAAAATGAAGTGGGAGCCTGGGAGGGTACACACTACCTAAAGATATACTCCCTCCATTTTAATTTAGGTGACAATATTTGTTTTAGTCATTGTATGACTCAAAATTTAGATCTAGGTTACAATTAAACTTATACTGAAAAGGGTTACTCTAAATCAATATTAATATCCAAATAATAGATCTAGTGCGTTTCTGAATGATACCGCACATGTGCTATTGGAAAATAATATCTTGAAACAATAAATGAGTAATAAATGATTCAAGAATATGAAAGAAATCAATAAATGGTAATAAATGACATTTAAGTAAATAATAGAACAAGGTTCGCCCGATAAGGGTGAGATTTCCCATGATTCTTCTCATTATGATGGATAGTGATAAGACTTTGAATATTCTGATTCTTCTTAGTTCGGGGAAGAAAAGATAGATAAAGAAGTAAAAAGGCAAACTTTGTATGTATATGATAAAAAGAGAATCTTCAAAGAATTTCAATATTGTTCTTTACAAAAAGTGTCCAATCCCCTTTCTAGAACTACATCTCTTCCTATTTATAAGGGTACATGTGCCAAAAAAACATAGATAGTATAACAGGGAGGAATATTCACTGAAATATTCCCTACGAAATATAAATCTTGAAACTAGTTGTTACTGCACGCCGAGGAGGGGTCCTCATCCTCGCCTTTTATTGGACCACCTCGACCTCGTCGACGACCTGCCATCTTCTCGTGACGTCGACCTTTTGAAATCAAGTTATCGAATCCTATCGGTGACACGTGGCAGCCTCCAAAGGTTTTATTTCTATTGACCTAGTCAATATATGAATGAAGTTTTTCGCCCACATAGCCATTCCAAAAGAATAAAAATATTTTAAATTTGAATATTATTTAATTTTTTTAAAAATTAATCCATCGGGCCCGGGCTTTCACCTCCCATGGTGATGGGGGGTTTGGCATTGATCTCTACCTTATTTATTGATAATCAAAGTAAAGTACAAGAGGAGGGGGACATAAACCTAACCTCCCCAACACAAAATAAAACCTATCTTAATATCTACCTAGTACAGATAGCAGATTCAAAGTTATACTTGCTCCACAGATCTTTTATATGTGCTAGATAACTAAAAGAGCTTGTGACATATAACTCATTCCTTAACAATTATGTCATAGCAACAGGCCAAAGGGGCATTTATCGAGCAACAAAGATATTCTTGACCACTTTATGCTTGATGCTAGGAAGCTGTATTCTGTCAAGTTTGTAGTGACCATAGGCTTGCTTTGGCAAATCATTATCAGTTAAGATTATAGTCTCATGAATCTCATGATCCATTTTGCAAGTATGTCCGTCATATTATTAGCCTCCCTGTAACAATGTCTAATAGTAGTATTGTGTTGAAAAATGAGATGTTGTATTCAGAGTCGGCTTAGCGCTATTAGAGGCCTAAAGTCAAGCCGTAAGAAGAGCTAGGCCTTAAACTTGTTTAATAATAATAGATATTTTTGTTGAAATTTATTCTTTTTACATTTTGAGATGCAATATAATCTTGATGATGTAACCCACCCTTATAATCTTTGTTGAAACATTACTAACCTTTGATAAGATTTTATTAAGTTTAATTTTGAATTTTTTCTTTTCACATGACTGCCTACATAACTCACTATATAGCATTGCCTCCCAAAGTAACAATCATGTAAAAATTTGTATTTATAAAGATGATAAATAAATTAACTATAGTTTTTTACGATCTAATTAGCTTGAAGCATGCCTACAGAGATCTTGAAAGAAAATATCTTACAAAGTTAGAGTTGTAAAAAATATTATTAAGTTGGAGTAAGAAGAACTAGAAAATAAATGCAGATTTAATTGCCTTTCACTATCATTTTAATTTTCTCAACCAACTCCGAAAAAGACAACATAAAATATAAAACTATGTTATTAACGATTGGTGTCAAGGTAGCAAAAGATGGTTGAAACAATTTTCTATCACTATTTAATAATAAATACAATAAATGTTTAAATTACGTATAAGAAGAGTAGTTTTTGGGGCGTCTAATTTTGTGAGGCCTAAACCGGACGCTTTAGTGGCCTGGGTTAAGCCGTCTCTGGTTGTATCTCTCGAATAATGATGTTCATGTGCCAAGGGGATTTCAAATTATCATTCAACATATCAATCACTAGTTTGGAATCACATTCTAGGATAATTCTATCATAACCATTAGAATGACACCACTGTAGGCCTAAAAGTGCAGCCTTAGCTTCTGCCAAATTACTTGTGCCGCTCCCCAAACTTTATGAGAAAGCCATAATCACATTAGCTTCTGCCAAATTACTTGTGCCACTCCCCAAACTTTGTAAGAAAGCCATAATCACATTACCTCTGTGATCTCTTAAAATGCCCCAACACCAATCATATTATTACCTTGTTTGCTACCATTTGTATTAAGCTTGGCCCAACCAAATAAAGGTTTTTCCCAACGTACAGGAACACATATAATCTTTGCTGTTAAGGGCCATGAGTTTATCTCATATACAATGCCATGGGAGAAATCCCTTTATAGAAATGTTATGTTTAAAAATCACCCAATCTCAAATGGGAAAGAACCCGGAATTAAACAATGTTATTTAATTTAAACTTTACGTTTTATCTTTAATGATAAGCTTTCATAATCATATAAGTAATTATTATGACAAACTCTTAATTAAGATCGCATGTTTCAAAAATTTTGATCCTTTATTTCTTGTGATATTAGAAAAGCGTCCCCCTCCCCGGCCAAAAGAAAAATCGTGGGTCAAGAACTTACAAAAGAGGAAGCTTCAACTTCGTAAGAGCAATCTTTCTATATATAGTAATTATACGTGTAGCTTTAAAATACGCACATGCACATAAATCAAGGGTAATACTCTAGATCTCCAGAGTGTTCAACTCAAAGACCCTCTCCCTCCTTCAACGAGAAGGAACGAGAAAACTGTTGGCTATTCTGAATTCCGTTAGATGTATTGGTATTGACCATTTAAAATCAGAACCTTCAAATTTCCCAAAGACACAGTTTTACATTAAGAAGTTTGAAAATTTTCGATCACTTGAGTTATACTTTATCTGTATACCAATTTGTGTAATACTTTTTTCTAATCAGTTCCAAAAGTAAGCTATATTTCTATATTTAGTACTCTAATTTAACTTTTAACTTTATATTTTACTCTTAATATGATAATTAATAATTACACAAATTCTATAATTTATTTTAGATCGTGAGAAACTCTACGCCCAATCAAACGATATCACATATTAGGTAAAGTGCCGTTTTATTGTGGTATACAAGTAAATTATAGACCTGAATTCATTAGTAAGTGTGAATTGATGCTGAGTAAGCACGAAAACATGTGATTTCACATGCATGCAAACGTGAAGATAAACCACTAATACATATGACATAACTCTCTCCTTCTAATTGCATCATTCCTCACCTCTGCAGTTTTCTACTTATTCACATGAGCTGCAACTATTTCCCAAGTTTCATCCGTTTCTTCCCTAATTTCCTCCAAAATCCCCATTCACTCTTGGGAAGAGCCACTTTTTGTCTCCTCATTTTATTCAATTCTCACCGCCACATTTCACGAATATAAACATTTTCACCTTAGTCTCACCGTTCTTAAGACTTAAGACATAGTACACATTCTTTGATAAATCAATTACTTTGGTCTAGCTAGCTATATTTTCGTTTCTTTTTTCTTGCTATCTCGAAATCAAACATGGTTGAATTTCAAGAAATTATAGAGCCTTTGAGCCCAATGAGCGAAGTGGAAGAGAACCAAGAATTAGATGATGAAGAAATCAACTACAATGATCTCAAACGCCGCATGTGGAAGGACCGCATGCGTATGCAGAAGCTAAAAACCAAGAAGGAAATCAACACTTCCACTTGTAGCAAAGATTTATTAGAAGGTGATGAAGACGACGACTCACAAGCTAAGGAAGAACAATCTCGCCGTAAAAAGATGTCAAGATCTCAAGATTCAGTCCTCAAGTACATGGTAAAAATCATGGAGATTTGCAAAGGTCAAGGCTTCGTTTATGGGATCGTGCCAGAAAAAGGGAAGCCTGTAACTGGCTCATCGGATAGTTTAAGGGAGTGGTGGAAGGAGAAGGTGAGGTTTGAGCAAAATGCCCCAGCTGCCATTGCTACATTCTTGCCTAAATTAGTGGAAGTAAATATATTGGATCCTAATTCATGCATGCATCTTCTTCAAGACTTGCAAGATACTACTTTAGGCTCACTACTTTCTGCCCTAATGCAACATTGTATACCTCCACAAAGGAGGTTTCCTTTGGATAGAGGGTTGCCCCCACCTTGGTGGCCCACAGGGAAGGAACTTTGGTGGGGTGATCAAGGTTTTGCACAAAAATTCGGCCCACCACCTTACAAGAAACCTCATGACTTGAAAAAGGCGTGGAAAGTAAGTGTTTTGGCTGCTATTATCAAACATATGTCTACTAATTTGGATAAGATGAGGAGGTTGGTGAAACAATCCAAGAGTTTGCAAAACAAGATGACAGCTAAAGAAACAGCTACTTGGTCAAAAGTTGTTAACCAAGAAGAAGTCCTTCTCAAGCTCACTGAAAAAGCTCTCAAGATTTCAACATCAAAGGAGGAGGAGGAGGAGGAAGAAGAAGAAGAAGAAGAAGAAGAAGAAGAAGAAGAAGAAGAAGAAGAAGAAGAAGAAGAAGAAGAAGAAGAAGAAGAAGAAGAAGAAGAAAATAAGGGAAAAGAAGATGAATATCTTGCTTTGGTACCCAAAATTGGTAATCATGTCAATTTATTTGATGGCTCTACTTTGATGAGAAAGGAGAAAAGGAAGGGTGTTTTTGAGAGTCACATAGACATGGAGGATGAGCTTTATGCTACCCAAAATTCAAATAATTGCACGCAAAGTGATTTAGGTAATTCAAGAATTGACTCCGAGAAGGGGGAGGATCAATTACTTAATATGTCCATCAACAACTTTCCTAGCTTGATTGAAGCACAACCAATTCCAAATGAAGAAATAATGGTTGGCCATGGCCAACATGATTGGGTGAACATGGAGATAAAAAGGAGCTTCGATAGCTACAATGCATCACAAAATGCTAATGGAGGATCAGTTGTGGAGAATTTCCAAGGATTTTGGGGAGGCAATGTCCTTGAACAACTTCATTATGATCCCTCTACTTATGGAAACATGAATTTGAATGCTACTCCACAAGAAGATGTTGTTCTACATCATCAAGCTCCTATTTCTGTTTGGGATTTGGCATATGAGGATACATCTGATTAAAGCTCCAGTTAAAAGTAAACAATTAGCGCTTTTTGTGTTTCCATTTTCTTCTTTCGAACATTTAGTTAATTACCATTGTGGATTACTTGTATTTCTTATTTTAGACACGCTTTATGGACATATATAAAAAAATTGGTACAATTATCTTTTATTTTTTCTCTTTGATATTATCATGTTTTATAGATGAAGGGGAGCCTTAGAATAATGGTAAAGCTGTCTTTGTATGACTTAGGTCACGGGTTCAAGTCGTGAAATTAATCAGTCACGCTTATATCATATCCCTTAGTGAAAATCTTTCTTGGATCCGATGTGAACGCGGGATATTTCATACACCAAGTTGCCCTTTTTATAGATCATTTTAGAGGTTTTCCTTGGATTATTCAATACTATCTTAGTTTTGTTAAAAAAACATTTGTCTACTACATGAAATTTAGGGGCAAAAAAAGTGCCTAGCGTACCTTATGAGATAATAGAGGGAAACCTTTCTCCCTCAGGATCCTTAAAAGTTGAACTGTACAAGATTTTAATTAATGTTAGTTAGACGAATTTCTATTTCAATAATGATAGGAACTGTGTCTCAGGGGTATTAAATCTTCATACTCCAACCTAGTAGCAGTGCAAGAAAAACCCTTTCTAAACTTTGCGTTCTTGTTGTTGGCCTCTGCCTCCACATCCACGGCAAATACTGCACAAACGGGTCTATGATCTGAAAATCTTGACTCCCCTCGAATATAAGATAATAGTTCAATACCCTCGCCTCGCCATAATATTCTATCACACCTGAAATTTACAATATATGTAAGGATCAAATATATTATAAGTCCCAATTTAGAGGTATATACGTACACCAGTTGACTAAAGGTTATTGTTCAGGAAAATAATTTTTTCGAAGGAGTCTTTTTCTGGTGTTTGGTTACCAAATATTTTCCATCAAAATGGGGGAAAATGACTTCCCACCCATGGCCAGAAGTCATTTTCTGTAGAATTATCTTCACTTTAAACTTTTTATTACTTGATCCAGCTCCCACTTAGATACTAGTAATCTTTAACGCTCAAAAATTTCATCAAACCGAGTTGCTCATATGATTATTAATTTTTAATACAATTTTTTTCTAAAAGATATTTGACTAACCAATCATATATCAAAAAACATTTTAGAAGAAAATATTTTTCATGATAATTCCTTGAAAAATGACTTTCATCATACCAAACACACTCGTGTTATGTCCGTGTCTCATCTAGGTGAGAGGTTAATTTTTATTAATCCCTCCGTTTCAAATTAGATGATGTACTTTTGTTTTTAGTCTGTTCCAAAATAAACGACACATATCTAAATTTAAAAATAATTTAACTTTAAATTCTTCATTTTACCCTTAATGAGAAACTTTTATAACGACACAAATGTAATGGCCCCACAAATCTTTTACCCCTTGAGCTTTTAAGACCATAAGTTTCAAAGTTTTCTTTTTTTCTTAAACTCCGTACCGAGTCAAACTATCTCATCTAAATTGAAACGGATGGAGTAATATATAGAACAATATGCACTAAGGTTAGCTTTTAGAGAGAGAGAGAGAGAGACCATGCAGGGGTTCGACGTTTCTTCTTTGATTTGGTAGTCTCTCCGGCATAGGAATCTGAATTATGAGAGTACTTATAAGTTGGGGCAAAGAAGATCTTGCCTTCATTCCACCCACTGAATACTCTTCCTGCTTCTCTCTCCACATTCAGCTGCCATCAACATATAATCAGCAGCAAATTAAATATGGATGATTTTGGATATATTAAAAGCTTAATAGTTCCTTCATTTCCTCTAGGGATAATAAGGATATTTAAATATTTAGCTCCGAAATCTTTAATGACCTAATCAAGTACATAATTCTTCAGTCAGGTTGACACCCTAAGATCTTGTAGGTCCAACATAATTTTCAATCAGTACTAGGTGTCCCGTTGACTTTATGTTATCAGAAAAATAAAAATTTCCCTTTTCCCAATAATAAGCACCACACAAATTAAAAAAAGAAAAAAAGGCACCAAACCTGATCCTTTTCCAGAAGAGAGTCCCAGTCATTATCCTCTAACAAAAGTCTTGTTTCCTCATAGCTCAAAGACACTCGGTAGTTCAAGTCTCCAAGCCATATCACACGGCTGAAAATTAAAATTTCAACTCTACATCATTATTTACTTTCATAGAAATGTGATCTTGAAAAAAAGGCCAAGTAAAAAGAGGTAAACAAAATTCCGTACTCTGAATTGATGTTTTGAATCTACTTACAGCTTTATATAACTTTTTGGATGCTCAAGATACTAAAACGGATTCAAAATTTAAGTATGATGGATCAACCTTTGAACTTTGTAATATTTAATTTTTTGTACTTTTTAAATTGTAGGTTTAAAATTTAATACCAGTGATTTTTCTAATATATATCTATGTCCGTGACAAAAATACATAAGTTCAATTTAAACAATCGAACAAAAGCTCCACCCGCCTCTAGTTTTACATACTAAACAAATATTTATTATTCTCTTTGTCCTAATTTAGGTGGCAGCGTTTTGCTTATCGATACTCAATTTTGACTAATCTCGAAGCTAAACTAGATTAGATTAATTTAATATTTTAAAATTAAAATTTAGTTATTCAAAAACTATAAAAAAAAAAAAAAAGCACTATAAATTACATTTCTTCCCATGTCAATATGATTAAAAATATATATTTTAAAATATTGATTAAAATTCGCATAGGTTGAATTTGGAAAAGCTAAAGATGCCACGTAAATTAGGATTAGGATCGAGAGAGTAAGTCTCTAGCTTGTAGTTATACGCAAATTAAAGTGTTATGATCGAAATGACCACTAGATAATAAAAAACTTACTCATGATCACTAATTTTCTCTGCCATTCGGCTGTCTGGAGCCGTACAAATTCTCGAAAATTGTATGCTTTTGAGAATCTCAGCAACATCAGCATTTCTTCTCAGCTCATCCCCTTCTTTCTCCCCAGAAGCCAAGTGACTGCACACAAAGCAAAAGCTCGTTCGATACAGTGACATGCTTATTGCTATACACCCCTGCATATATATTATATATAATAATATAAATCACGTTCCATAAAAGTCAATGGAAAACTGATACACCAAAATTGAAAATGCTAGATTCAATATAAAACCAAATATAACTAGGCATATTCTTATTGTAAAGTTGATTTCTTTTATATATTTGTAATGGCAGTGACCACGCCAATTTGTGCTAATCTCGACTGTTTCACCGGATACCTCTTATCTCTCACCAATACATGTATCGGGCAACTTAATTTGGCCACCAAAAATGAAAAGTTGATAACAAGCAAATTTGGTACATGAAAAGTACTCCTTTCCATCACTTTCAATTATCATGTCTATTAAAACCTATCATATTCAATTTTTAATAAAAAGGAAGAATAGTCAAATATTAAAACATTCTTGAACCAACCTTGTTTCCAAGACAACCCATGATACCTCTTCCAAGAGAAGATATTCTGAGATGGCCAATATGATGTGCTAACTCTTTTCGTGCCCAAACTGAAAGGAAAATCCCCACCATTTGCTTACTCGCTATGAGATTATAACTCAAACCATTAGAAGAAGGAAATTCTGCAATTGATTGTAAATCTTCTTCACTCGAATCGCGATGATGGTTCAAGGGAGAACAAGAAGGATCACTCAGCTTTCTTTGACGCCTTGTTGTTGTTGACTCTAAAGGGCAATTACAGGTCTTGAGAATGGTACTATTAGCCCTTAAACTCTTGCTAAGGCTTTTAAGAGAATGTTTATGAAAAGAATTGGATTTTGAGTCCTTTGAATGTTTTGAATTATGGGAGCTTGAATCACAAGAATGGACTGATTCATGATATGATTTGTTTAATGCATGGCTTATGAGGGCTAACCATCTTGCTGCTGGCTCACTATCTTCACTCACTAATACATTTCCTGCATTTAATGGAACAATTTCTTGAAACCTGAAAATTAAAAGAAAAAACATTATCAATAAAAATAATCACATCTTGTTCGACAAAATTATTATGTATAGTTAATCATACCCCAATACATATACGTCTGCTGAACCTTCAACTTGCAAGAAATCTTCAAGATTAAGTCCATGATTAGGAGTTTTTCCTCCTACATTCCATGTCCCGGCAAAAACCCTAAACATTTCCAGCCACATATTCTAATGATAAAACCCTAAAAACAATTGACTTGAAAATCAAGAAAGTTTGATGTGATATGAATTAATCATACCTAATACTTTTAATCATAGTAGCAGGTGCGGTGGAATGATCAAATGTCGAAAGATTTAGGCCTTCAATCCGTGCACTATTATGCCTTTCTGAGAGTAGATAAGAAATTAGTCCCATTGTTGTGTGGTTTGGATTTTCTTTCAATATTCTTGAGTTTGAAACTAAAAGATATATAACCTTTTCAATGGGCAAAGTCCTTACAGGTCAATTCTATAATACGAAAACTACTTACACATTATGTTTAATTTTACAACTATATAATGAAAAGAAATAGCATTGCCAATAATCAATTATACACTTTAGTCTTCTGTTAGGTGAGCTACCAAAATACTATGCCAGAAGCTAAGCAGATGTTAGTCTTTTGGCTTGATGGTATACGTGGCTAACGCACATTACACAGTTTCTATCCCTAATTAACACGATTTTAGTTAGAAATTTCATATTATTATTTTTCTCCCTATACGACATAAACCCGGTGATGTAATTAAAGGTTGGAGTCATATGGCTACATTAGTTAGACTAAATGCACTATAGCTCAATAATGATAACCTTAATGGGATATGTCGAAGTAGTACCATAATACAGATTCAAAGGATAATATTATTTTATTCCCTCACATACGATGAAGATTAAAAAAGGTTCGTAGAATTATACAAATTCAATTAATATAGATGATTCATCAAAAGCACAAATATAAAACTTTACTAGATATGTTACTTTAAGATGAACATACAATGGATATATTTAAAGAATAGTACAATTCCATCATGCACTGGAAAAGTTCCTAAAATTTAATTAATACCCATGCATTAAAAATTTTATTTGAAAAATAAGTCATGTTGCTGATGATAATTAATCCCTACCTGAGAAACTTCTCTTCACTGTAGCAGACGTTTCAAGAAAAGCTTTTCTCCTTGATATAATCTTCCAATCCATTTCTGCTCCCAAACCACCCAACCAAAAATTTAAAAAATCCATTATCATATAAAATCAAAGAAAAAAAATATATATTACTGCAAAAAAAATGGCAAAGGTGACTATTGAAAATCGAACCTTGATCATTGTTATCTGATTGTGTTAGATCCTCCTCATAGCTTCCTATACTGCTTCTTTTGGAACTAAAGAGCTTTGGGATGATACACTTTTATTTTATAACATGAAAAAAAAAATCAAAATTCTATTTTTCCAACAGATCAAGAAAAATAAAATAAAAACAATAGAAAAATAATAAATGTACCTTCTTTTTTTCACCCTTAACAGAATTGTCAGGGGTGGTGGCTGGGGAGCTGCTAGGGGAAGTGCTAGCGCCGCCGCCGGCGGTGGTGTTGACGGCGGCTGCCTTAATCATGTGGATGTTATCATCAGATTTACAACGCCTTGTTGGCGACGTCATTCACGCATTCATTCACTTCAAATTGTAACGTTCGATTAAATATAGTTCCAAAATTGGGGTCAAGCCCCAGTTTTTCTTATGGATTAACAACTAATTAATTACGTTTAATTAATTAAATAAATCTACCAATGCACAAAACACCAAAGAAAACTCCAAGAAACTTTCTTGATTTCTTTCTTGTCTACCTAAATTTCTGTGTTCTTTTGCTTTGTGTTTGACTTTTTATTTCCTTGAATTCTTTTTGTTATTATTATTATTACCATAATTAATTAAACTTTTTCTTTTTTTTTTGCTTTTAGGGTTTCTCTTTTTTTCCATAAGTTTTTCTTTTGTTAATTTGTAGTTTTAATTTATTTTCTTTAAAAAAAAATATCCAATGGAAAGAGAGTTTGCCGCCAAATCTTTCGGAGATTTTGGGGTAATTGGTGATTAAACAGTTAACATCAAGGGGAGTAATTTTCATTAGTGGTTACCCCCTGTTGACAGTTCATTATCAATATCTGTCCCCCCTAAATTTTATTTTTATGTCCCCCTTTGATTAATTAATGTATAGTTTAAGTACAAGATTGGTACTCCATGACCCCACTGAATAGGGAAGTGGAGATTGAGTAAACTAATTTGAGAGATGTGGTTTTAATCAAGTCGTTGCAATTAGTCAACAAGTGTGAATATCATGCAGTTTTATTTGGTGCACAAATCAAATTAATCAGTACCTGAGAATCTGTCTCCACAATTAATGAAAACAGATTATTTGTATAGCAAATGATGATACTTACTTGACACTTGTTATAATATATTATATTTTTCCTTTAGATTAATGAGCAATGCCTAGACCTTATGTTTAACGATAAATTTACAATGTCGTTTTCATTCTAAATCTTACACCTCTGCTTCAATATGCGAATATACAGTTGCATCACATAACTCATTTTTTCCTACTTTAATGTATTTCTTTAACCCACTTTGACATCTCATTTCTCCACCTGGCCAAAAGATAAACTCGAGTCGTTAATTATAAAATTGTTTTTTTAAGTGAATCCAACCATTATTCAAGCCGTAATATTAACACAAAATTACACAATGCCCATAGTAGCAGTATACGTACACCAATGAAAGACGTGCAGCGCTACATTTGGGATATTCACACTAGATTCAACTCAGAAAAAAAAAGGCCAAATACATTAACAGTCCCTCTAAGTTGGCATCAATTTTCATTTTGGCGTTTTAATCTCAGCTTTGTTCCATTTTGACACTCCAGTCCATTTAATATGTTTCGTTTCAACACAAAAGGCTGACTTGTCACATTGGGTGAGTTTCCTCACCTCGTAGGTGCATAAGGCTCTATTTTAAATGCCCAACCTCCTTCCCCATTATTTCTTTCATCTACACTCTCAAAATAATTCCTTGGTTGCTTTCGATCTCCATCTCCAGAAAGCTTTGAAGCTTTGCCTTATTTTAGTTCCTTGATTTCGTTAGTGTTTTTCTTTATTTATTAAAATCTATATCTTCATCTGACGCTTGAAGTTCCAAGCTTCAACAATGTTGGTGATATCTCTAGTGGGTTCAACATTGTCGTAGTTCAATTTGTGGAATAGGCTAGTGTTAGGTCTTGTGTGCCTTTTATTATGTACCTTTTGCTGTACCTATTTTGGAAGAAATAAAACTGATTCTAGGTACCAATTATGTTCAGCTGCAATCGGTGGTTTCATCACCTAACTACGACAAGGGATTTTGGAAACGAGATTAGGATTTCATCACCTGCGACCAGAAATTTTGGGAACGAGATTAGGGTTTCATCACCTACGACTAAGGATTTTGGGAACGAGTTTAGTGTAGACGAGTTTATGACTTAAGGAAAATAGCGCGATTCTTATTTTACCCATATCCCATCTGGGTTATTAGTGTAGGGTTTCGGGTAGTTGGGTTAGACCCGTTTGACATGGACTAAAAACAGTTGGCTACATTTCATTGGATAGTTATTACATCTCAGAAGCGATTATACACACGCTCTTTACTTTTTATACCGTGTCAGTTTTTTGTGTTAAAATGAAACATATAAATGGGGTTGGAGTGCCAAAATGGAACAAGAAAATAAAAATTGATGCCAAGTTAAAGGGACTGTATATGTATTTGGCCAAAAGAAAAATATTAATAAAACCTCACGTGACAGTCTCTCTACTTCAATCTCTCTCTCTTTCTACATTAGAAAAGTAGTCTAAATATATTAAATAAGAAAAGAGATCCCCACCAATATCAGTATAAATGGGGCAGAAAAGTTGAGATTAGGCAGGCAAACTTGTTTCAGCTTAAGTAAATGGAATGGATTGTAGGAGGGGACGTAAAAACTAAAAGGTTTTTTTTTTCTTTTCTTTTCCAGAACAGGGTTGAAGCTACTTTCCTTGTTAGTTGGTAAGTACAAAGATGAATTTATGAAGACTCGATAACACATTAGCAAACAACTTGAAGTGAAAATGAATAGACAAGTCAATATTGAAGCAGATCAAAAGTCAACAAATAACAAAACGAGAAATACATTGCAAAACAATACCAATAGACATGTAGACAACAAACTCTCTAATGTAAGTATTAGAAGCTCTGGCTAAAGAAACATGAAAAAATGAATTGATAAAGTTCCTCAATTGAGGATAGTAATAATCAGCTAAGTAAATTACCCAAAAAAAAAAAATCAGCTAAGCAGAATCAGCTTTGGGTCTGGTCTCCACAAAAAGTGCTCAAATTATTGTCAGATCTTCACTGGCATACTCACTTGAACCACAAAGAGGGGCACAATGTGTGTCCAACTATTGATTGTTACATAAGGTAGCTGCAAAAAATGTCTTCCATCTTGGCTCCGCTTTCTCAGAATTATTGATGACAGAAAATGCCTCAACGAACTTCCAGCGACATGAGTCCATCCTAGATTTTCTTCGGGGGCAAAAAGTTACAAAGACACTTCATCTAGCACTTCATCTAGCAGATTTTGCTTGTACAAGGCCAAGCTCTGCAGAGAGGGATATAAACTACATAAATTTTGACAGCTCTACAAGCTTCATGCATCATATCAGACGTGCATCTAGCAGAAAAGAGAAAAGCATTGATGATAAGGTAATGGTGTGACAGAAATGGTTGTTAAAGTGCATTAATGACAACATGAGATGCTGTCATCAAAATAATTCTCATTCCGGAAGGGAAAGTATGAATGTAGAGCAAGTGCCAGGATTGCACCTTTCATCAGAAACAACATACACGCTGCAGTAAGTACCCTTCCACCAATCACCAAAGGAATCATATAGTTCTACAGCCTTAAAAATGACACCTTTACCACTTTATTATACCCACGCCTGAAATCTACCGTAAGAGGAACTTGTCTAACACTAGTAGATTATCGTTGGGCACGCATAGTCCCTAAGTGGTCCTATAGCTTATGCAGCATGACTCGTCGAACACAAAATATGAGGCCTGTAGGCAAGTCCGTCACGTGGAATGCCAAATGGGAGGCCTATAATAAGTCTAGGAGAGGTCAACTTGGATATTCTATAAATGATTCATGCAGATCTTGCTGATCGTCTTGGATTTTGAATGTCGCCAAAGATCTGATAGGAAATTAAGCGCTTATTATAGACCCTTCTCTTCCAATGGAAACTACCTATACATCTTGTTTGGTACCAATTCAATCGTGTCCACTTTTTACTAGTTCTTAACTATTTTCACTTCGAACAGTAATCTCGAAAAATATTGGGACTCATTTCTGATTTTCTGCTTTTTCTTTTGATAAATTGTAGGGAAGGAGGGAGGGCCTTCTATCTTTTCACTAAGAAGAGATTTTTGTTCCTATAGGTGGAAACTAGAGACATAGATATTATGGAATTATATTTTAACAATCAAACAATATTATGGTAATATATAGTTACACGCCGTATCATCTGAAGCAATGTATCAACAATGACTTTTATGTTTGTCTTTTTCTCTTGATCATTTGCTACAAAATTCCTAAAAATCAAGATAAATATAATTCTTTTAATGAGCATAAAACAAGTATATTAAAGGTCATTTCACTTAACCAACTGCTCCATTCAGTACACAGAAGTCTCAATTTGCAACTCCCTACTCGCAGACCCTCCATTACCACCATGAGAAAAAGGAGAAAAACATTGATAATTTTGTTGTTAAAAGCTCACTTGAGGTAGGCTTAAACCTTGCAGCTAAGTGCAACTTAGGCGGCGCTTCAGTGCTCTCACTCTCAGGGCTCCCTTTAGTAAGGTCAGACTAAACAATGGATATAGCGAGCAAAGTGATATAGTCATTACCAATGGCGGAGGCAGGATTCCAGCTAAGCGGGTTGAAAAAAAGAAAAAATTTAAAAATTTAAAAGAGACTGTGGCCAGTGGGGAATTGAACCGGCAACCTTACAAAAGTTTTGAACCCCCTTGATCCCTTAACTATGCTTTTGGGTTGTATCAAGGGGATTCAAAATATAAAATATAGAGGTACACACCAAATTTTGCTTTATATGTACTGTGTAATTTTCCGGCGAAAGGGGTTGAACCCCTTCCGCACCCCTAAATCCGCCGCCCCTGGTCATTACTAAGAAACGTTATGAATGATTATCTGAGAGATTAAGAGTAACAAATTAAGAATATAGCATAAGAAAATCAGTCACTAAACGTAAATTAAATATTAAAGTTGCTTGTTTTGTATCTCAATTGGAAATTTTAAACTGAAAATAGATTTCGAACCTGATTGCTGTGGCTATTTTTTAAATCTTTTGTTGATATAATTGTTGTTATGTGTTTCATAGTTACCTTTTCATGAATTAACTTTTTGCCATTTAGGCTTTATTCACTAAAACCCACACTTCAATTGCGCTTTGCGCTTAGAGCCTTAGCAAACATTGTCTTTTTTCTTAACTCTTGTTGCCTTTGATAATATTCCGATTTTAGCGTTATGGTCAAGGAAGCACATCTTGATCTTCTATTTGAAACTTTCGTCATGCTATTGTGTCCTTGGCATCATAAACGTGGCATCTCAATAGGGTAATAACATAACGTCAGCTTAAACTGAACTTTCTATCAATTTACTAGTGTTTTTTTCAGTTTCACATCTGAAGTACTTCAGGATACAGAAATAAACGGAAGCTACCTACCAAAATGACATACATTTGTTAAGCAGAAAAGATATCTTACCTCTGTATAAGCATAAACTCCAGCCTCCATAGATCCCAAGGGACTTCCCTTCCTGATGAATTGATTCCCTTTGTATATGTAAAGCATTGGCACTCCAGTTGAGAGTTCTAAGTGGATGACCTGTTACCAAGAAGCTATTCAAACCCAACTAACATGCATGCATAGAAAAGGCATGGTACTAATGAGAAAAAATGACGATACTCATTACCTCCTCAGCAGTCAACTTATCAAGATACATTAGGATGGACCTCAATGAATTTGCATGAGCTACTACCATTACATTCTTTCCACCGGAAAGTTGGGGTTCAACCTGCAAGTAAATGCTCAATTATGAGAGGTCATGATCCCTGCATCAGTAGAAACTTGTCTCCTCTATATGCATTTATGCTTTTTATAAATCACAGCAGCTTACTTGCTCTTTGAAATAGGTAACAGCTCTTCGCAGGCACATTTCCAAGCTCTCACCGTTGGGTGGCTGAGCATCATAGCTTCGGCGCCATTTATAGACTTGCTCTTTCCCGCATCTTTCAGCTGTTTCCTGCTTATTATACCCTTGAAGTTCCCCGTACCTGTAAAATAACATCTTTTTGAAGCGGGGACAATATCATATTGGAATAACAACAAAATGAGAGCTGTGAAAGTACATTCTTTCATTCAGTTGCCATGCTTTAATAACAGGAACAGATTGCATCTCAGTGCCTTCACTATAAATTTGACTCCATAATTTGGCTTGTTCAGTCTCATTGTGTATAATAATGGGCACCTGGAATTCAAGTAGGATTAAGTGCTATATATTGTGGCCTTTTCTTGGATAATTTTAATATCTTTCTGCACATTATATTGGATATAAGAACAAAGAGCACGTAATCATTGGCATACCAACATTTCAGTAGTATGGAGACAATTTACACTACAACCAGGAGGGAGTCTCATTTCTTGAATCTCTATATCGTTCCAATTTTATTGGATGTCCCGAAGGGGCCTCATTTCTTGAATCTCATGGAAAGATTTAACGAAATACTGCAATAAAGACATTTTTATTTATTTATTTATTTATTTATTTATTTCCTGAAGTGTTTATTATAGATACTAAATCTTGTTTTACCGCCATCCATATAGCTTGCAACATGAGAAAAAAACCGAGAAAGAAACATTAAGCCATGCATAACTAAGAAAAAGACTTTTTAAAAAAGGATAACAATATCCAGGAAGTAGGAAGAACATTTCCTGGAACCAGCCAATAGTATTACTATTTGTTTATGAAGTCTAGCATACTCTTATTTCACATTGCTAATTCGAGCTGTATCCTCATGGATTCTGATTTCTGAATCAGAAATATTAACATGAACTAGGTTAAATGATTCAAAACAATTAGCAAAACAAATGTAGCAATTGAAGGGGAACTTCCTCCAAAATGGCTCACCATGAAAATGATCCGTTTTGGCATACATATTATAGATCCTAAGGGGACTTGACATAGCATAAGAACAGACACCATGACGACAGCAGTAATGGTCCAACTGTACGGGAAGTTTCAATCTAAAAGCTAAATTCAAGATTTTTGTGTATCTTTACCGTAAGTCATTACAAAGAATTGCATTAGTTAGCAGGACCATGCTTCAAAAAGACAAGTTGTTTAAAAGACCAAAATGCAGAAGTACCTTCTTGCAGTGATGCTCTGTTAGAGCAAGCATAGCCGTCATCTGAGAACGAATCAACGCAGAGATGTAGACGACATCAATGGGTAGGTGTCTGATTCTCTTACCGGCTTCTATTGCTTCTTCTACTCCTTTATTGGTGAGTGGCACATCTACACAACCAGTGAATAGGTTCTTCTCATTCCACATCGATTCTCCATGCCGTATTAAGATCAAATATGATTCAGCTGCAGGGAATAAAGCCTTAAATAGGAGAACAAGATCACGAACTAGAATGCAGATACCACACAATAAATAATGAATCCACTCACTTTTTGATAGATGATAACTGAAACTGAAAGAAGTCAAGAACTATTGGAGAGGAATGTACTCACGTACTGATCTCTGTGAATCTTTGATACTTGACAATGAGGAGAAAATTGGCTTAATAGCACATAAAGATGAATTTGGTGAATGCCCTTTGCATTTTACAGACTGCCTCAAATTGCAACTTTCTTTTATCAAAACTGGTTTCATTTTAAGACCCCCAAATGAAGATGTGACCAAGAAGTTCCTAAAGCGCTCATTGGAAACACAAGTGCTGCAACTTATGAAGTGTATTGCTTGGTGATAAGCAGCAGCAACCATATTGACTTTTTGCAGTTATCCCAACTAAAGTATCACAAAAGGAAAATGAATAAACATACTCAAAGACCAGCTAAAATTCAGAAACAAAGCAAGTAACTGCATTTCATACATACTCGGATGAGCTAATGAACCATTTTAAAAGGGGAAATTATGATAAGTTTATGATCAACTAGTAAAATAATTTCATGGATAGTTACACTAGAATTGTGTTATCATACATCCTATCAAGTTGATCACACATGTTCATAGTCATGTAACTAAGAACGTGAAGAAAAATCTTCCAAATCGAGAATGGGGTCAAATACATAAGCAGAACTTTAAACAGATGCATTTAAATAGCTCAAATACATAAAAGCGATACAAAAGAAAAAGAATCTTGATTACATATATGAGTTAACAAAAAGGTGATGATACGATCAAACTGCACCTTTCAAGTACTGTGTAAAGCACTTGGAATTAAAAGAATGCAAATACAAAGAAGATCATACATGTGAACGCGGAGATCTCAAAGACCGGCTGCCGGAGGTCGCTGTCATAACAGTTAGTTGCGACGTCGTTTCATGCCTCAAGGGACTCGTCACAGTAAGTTGCTCGTGTTCAACTTCGGCTTGCTTCATTTGGGCCTTTGTCCATGGGCCGTTTACATGATTTTGTTAAGATTTACAGCCACCTTCGTTGTTTTATTTAGGGTCATATTCCCAAAAGGTTTGTAGTATAATCTATGTATACCGGTTAAGAAAGTAGAAATTATACTAGGTAGTCATTCTAAAGGGCTGCTATTCAGGAATTAGCCAGTGCGTCTTGAATTTTAATTTTTCAAGACAAAAATTTCCTGAGTTGTCCTGAAATTAAGATTTATAGTTTAAAATTTCAGGACAAAATAAATACTGGTTAATCTTTAAATAGCAGCATTGAGAATGTCTATCTGTGCACTTGCCCCGTTAAGAAAAGTAAACAGTGAATCAAGTGGACTATTTATATAAAGATCCCTTATGATAATTCCATAATCTTTCTTCCATTAAATATTTCTATTTAGTAATCCTACCATAGTCCCAATGGTGTCGTCATTTTGTTACATTTTAAAGTTAGCACCATGTTTTGCTTTTTGGCACAAATATTACTTGTTGATTAAATTTATAGCATCCTTTAGGAACTGAAAATGATAGACCAAAATTCTTGGTGCCAGTTGGTGCTAAAGCTACGTACCATCTTCCAAAGAGAGATAAAAACTTACCCGCATCCTATGTTTACACATGATCATCTTAATTTACTATGGACAAATCATAAATTACGATAAGAATATTAACTATGGTAAAATGATAGAGTGTAGATGAAGATGTGTCATGTATTCATTTAATTGGTATATAAACTCTTGGCGCCCGTATTATGAAGCAGATTGTACGCTAGTAAGGCGAAAGCAATTAGGACAATAAGCAAGATATATATGCCCCTCTTAATTTTACAGGTTTTAAGACCAAGACAAGGTGTTTAATGTAACTCAAACTCTTCATCTCAGCTCAAAATGGTTGAAAATTTAGTCGTGGTAGAGAGTTCAGCTCTATTTTTCCTTTTTCCTTACTACTTTGCTTCTTTGCTTCTTATTGCAAGTTATCCTTGATACCAATATGAATTCCACAAGTAATATCATGTAACTTATGGAACCAGATATCATTATGCCCTTTAGGGTTCTTACAAGGTAATATGTTAGTAAGGCACAAACAAGTAAAATCTGAGGAATTTACCATGGTAAAATTATATATTAATGCAAGAATGTATATTAATTGACTGTAGTTTAATAATAAGAATGTATGTAAAAACATGTATTGTACATTCATAGGATTAGTATAGATGCAGATAAGTTTTAACTCACAAACACTCCCACTCCCTAGAATGACACCAATCAAGGCTTTTTCCCCCTTGACCCACGTCCACTATAGGCACTTCAACAGGAAGGATGTGAATGGAAATGATCTGTGGGGCAAAGATTTCACTGGAAAAAACAATTATTGGAGAGATCAGAAGCAACAATTTTAATCCTTAATTTAAAACTAACTTGAAGTGTAAGATCATGTAGTAACAATTTTAATGAGCCATTAAAATTTAACTCAAAGACTAAAAAACAACATAACACTTAGAAGTTGAACATCCAGATACAATAACAAAGATATAAGTATGAAGTTTGATGCCTAAAGCATCATCATCAACATCATAAGAATAAATAAGCTCTAAACATCAAACAAAAGATTCATAGTAAGAAGTCATTTGTTGATGTTCCTTCAATATTGGTCCTCGGTCAATTGGTATTGCTGGAGGATCTGAGTGCAGGATTTAAGAGGCGCATCAGAGAGGAAACCCATGTTGTTGGCGTAACGGACATCAGAGGACATGCCATTGTTGCGGGTAAGGATGACACGGGCACGGTCACGGCCACCATTGGGTTTGCCACATCTTTTATCAGAGCTCTCGACGAGCACAACATCGCAAACATCGTCTCCACAGTCACGGTTTACCAAGATGTTGTATTCACCCTGTGAGTTGGTCACACCATCAATTGTGTATGTGATTTCGTTGGTCACCCTGTGTCTGCACTCAATTTTAACCTTGGATCCTGTCCAACATAGGCACAATTTATCAAACTATAATTCGAATGTCGATTCCATAGCTTATTTAAAATAGATCATTTTCTTGAGCATTTGGTATAAAAGTGTGATAAGAATCTGAACAATCAATCTAAAATCTTAAGACAGGGGTGGAGTAATTAAGGGCCATTTAGACTCTTTCGTAAACTCTTGAGTTAACCTACGAGGAATAAGGAGTCGTTTGGTATGAGGTATAAGGTGGGATAAGATATAGGATTAAATTTATACCTTGTTTGATTGGAGGTATAAATTTATCATGTGATAAATTTATACCTCCAATCAAACAAGGTATAAATTTAATCTCAGACGTAATCCAGGATATCTCATCTTATCCCACCTTATCCATTCAAATGTGGGATTACTTTATCCCATCCCTCATGTGGTATAAATTAATTCTTAGATTATAATCCCGTGATAATTTAGTCCACGTATCAAACGACCCCTGAGTGTAGCAATATCTAAACTATTGATTGGGAACATCAACATGTTGAAGTTCCCAACTAGGCAAATAAACAACAGCGTAACAAGTGCAATCCCAGGGTCTGGAGAGTATAATGTGTACGTAGACCTTACACTTGCACTACCGTTGTGAAAGTAGAGAGGCTGTTTCTAATAGAAAAAATTCGGCTCAAATTAGGCAACTAAGCACATACTACAATTTGCGCAGGCATAGGCAATTGAAATATAGATATAGCTACAAAACAAGCTAATGTGGCAAGAAATTAACATTCCTTCAAACATTAACTCAAGAAATTTTTAACTAGAACAAGATTAACAGCACAAGGACATGAACTCTTCCTATTGTTTCTTCAACTGTTTCTTAGTAAATAAATACTACCTCCGTTTCAATTTATGAGAAAATATTTAACTGGGAACTGAGTGTAAGAAAATATAGAAACTTTTGAACTTGTGGTATAAAACGAGAGGCGTATATTTTGTGTAGCTATAAATTCTTGCATTAAGCAAATTATTTCTAAATATAAAAAGGATTTATTCTTTTTGGCACGGATAAATTGAAACGGAGGGAGTATAATATCACCTGGTAGTAGATCTATACACTAGATCTGCAAATGGGAAGTCAGGAAATCACAGAAAAGACAGAAACTTGAACAGATCTTGAAAGTGGGAATAATCAAACCAAGAATAGGGAAAAAATGCAGAATGATTAAGAAAAGGGGGGTTTAATATTTACCAGCGAGATACTTGGTAGCTTCGGTCTCAAAGCCACAGCGGCAAGTGTCACAATAACATTTACCCTTAACAAGGAAAGGGGAAGTGGCAGCTGCCAAAGAAGCAAAGAGTAAACAAAGAGCAACGAATGCAACTAATCTTGCCATTTTTGGAACACCTAAGAAATTTCTCTAACTTTGCTTCTTCTTCTTCTTGTTGAAGTTGTAATGAGATAAAATTAAGGAAAAGAGAGGAAAGTGGGAAGTGAATATAATGGAGAAAGGCGTCGGTGGATGGGCTGGCAAAGAGAAGTAAAGTCACATGGGGGCATGAGCATCAAATGAATTTGAACAATAAAGAAAAGCAACAAAACAAAAGCGCGTCTTACGCCAATCTATTCTTTATTTCTCAACTTGCATTGCTATTCAATTCAATGCTTTCATTAATTTCGGTCCGTGGGTTCCACCTGCCCCCCTTCTCCTTACGCGGAGATCTGTACTTCAGTTTTTGAGTTACTTTTACTCTTCTGCTCCAAAAAACAAAAACCAAACCGAAAATCGAATTAAATCGACTAAAAAAATCGATACTTTTTAGGTTTAGTTTGATTTTGGTTTTAAATTTTAAAAATTGATCAAATTTAATTTGGTTTGATTTTAATAAAAAAATAATCGAAAAAATCGAATCAAACCGACTATAAAAGTAGCTATATAAATTTATTATTACACATATATATATATATATATATATATATATATATATATGTATGTATATTTTTATATAAAATTTCTGAAATTTTATGGTACATATTAGTCATTTGTATTTTTAGTCTAGTTCTTTGCTATTATAATAATCTAATTCTTTGCCTTCTAGTTTGATTGGTAATTTTCTTTTGCTAAGTACAAGAATTTATTTCATGTTAAAAATAATCAATTTTTAATTAAGTACTTAAATTATTCATCACTATTTGAGTCAATTATCATCAATATATCTTGTTAAATGATAGATTTCTCAAAGAGCAATTAGTTTGATAGTGTTACGTTGAAAATGTAGTCGCCGAAATATGCGTTTGGTAGTGTATGTCTCATATTTAAGAAAAAACCGATAAAGAACCGAAAACCCGAAAAACCGACAAAAAACGAATTGATAAAAAACTGACTTAATTAGTTTGGTTTGGTTCCAATATTTGAAAAACTGACTTACTTGGTTTGGTTTCTTTTTAGGGGAAAACCGACTCAAACCGAACCATGAACACCCCTAACTACTAGTGTTATTTCCTTGTTATTTTTCATTTAAGTTTACTTAACTACTGGTGAGTTTTCTTTTATCTCATCTGGTGTCCGATACCTGTATTAGGACCCGACTAAATTTGGATTCGCGTCGGAGAGTCCCCTGTTGGTGGGTAAAGCGCTCCCTAACAAAGGCGACTCCATACACAGGGCTCGAACCCGAAATTTCTGATTAAAGACGAAGGGGTATTTATCACTTCACTACAACCTTGTTGGTAACTGACGGCTAGTTGAGATAGTGTTAGCTACTTATTGATAAATTTTAGTAGTACTACTTCTTTGAAGAGATCTATTAATTTTTTTTATCCTATATCCTACCCTCCCCATACCTCACTCGTAAAATTATTACTGGATTAGTTGTTGTTGTTGTTGTTGTAAAGTAGAAATGATACAAATAGATTTCATTAAGAAACTTTATTTAAAATAGCACTGTTGTAATTTTAGAACTATATTTTTTGTTAATAGTGAAAAATGTAAAATAGAATGCAAAACCAAAAAACGACAATTTTCTCTTATGAGTCTTTCAAATTATTGACAAGATAAATAAGAGTTAAGTTTATATTGATTATAAATATACTTGCATGGTTAATGTATTCTGCATTATTCAATTTACTTTCCAAGAAGATGGGTGTAGATTTGAAGAAGTATTCCGCAACAGCCCCTCCCCCACCCCAAATGAAAACCAACAAAGCAATAGGGTAAAAATAGGTATAGGGCCCACCAATTTCTTTTTATTGATCTTTTAAAAAATAATTCTTTTTTGGTAGCGTAGATAGTTAGTACTTGCCAGATTGGCCGCTATAATCATTCAAAATTATGATGCAGACCCCACATTTATGTAATTTCGGATGCTTCCTTACAAAAAAAAAAGGAATTTAAAACCAAAAGGAGAACTTTCCCTTACTCATTCTTTGACACTTGACAGACATGAATTTGATGAGAAAGAAACTACAAAAAACAACCAATTAAACAAGTGAATTGGATTTTTATGTGTGTGTTTGGGGGTTCTAAGCAGGCATTTGGACATAAAAATTGTAATTTTTGAAATAAAATAGTATTTGAAGTTAAAAAGTGGTAAAAAATACTTTTTGGTTTTTTGAAAAACTCTTTCAAAAAAATTTCAAAATTACTAAATTTCATGGACAAACATATTTTTCAAACTTTTTTTTGAAGAAAAGGAAACACTTAACTGGGCCTAAATTTACGGATTAACACTTAGCGATACAACTTAGCGGTACAGTCAAACCTCTCTATAACAGTCTCGTTTGTTCCGAATATTTTTAAATGTTATATCAAAGTGTTGTTATAGAGGACATATATTATAACATAACATAAAAAATGGTTTCGAAAAAGTTTGGTTTTTATAGTGAAGTGTTGACACATAAATGAATTTTTTAGCTGGTCGATGTTTCTGTTGAGGTTTTGTTTTTAAGATGAAATATTCTTAAAATGAGGGTGAATGGGAAATGGAGGGAAAATGAAATTTTGAGTAAAATTTTAGGTTTCTCCCTCTTGATAATGAGACATTGTCCCATATTGGAAGAGGAAGACATTTTTGGTGGGTATATATATAATTGCTCTTCTTGTAGCTCTTAAAGAGTTAAGAAGAAAGCAAGCCTCGCGCCGTCGTCGTCGTCGCTCGCTCGGCTCGG